TTCTGCTCCCCACTCTGTCTCTGGTGAAGCCTCTCACTGCCCCTGAGCCTCTGGCCTGTACCCCAGTTCTGTATGCATAAATGAATAAATCTTTAAAAATTCAAACTAATTATTAATATTAGGTTAAATGTAAGCTATAATATTGATACAGTCTATTATATAACAATGTTAAATGTGGAATACTGTATAATATTAACATTACATTTAATAGGTAGATTAAAAGTCTTAACTCAGGTTCTGCACTGGGCTTACTGCTTTGATTGGAAAACTCACCCTGATCCTCTTGGAGTCCATGAACTATAAATTATCTGCTTTTCTTATACTGTACAACAGTTGTAAGTAATAATTGTATGCAGAGGTCTTTGAAACCCACAAAACATTATGAAACACAAATAATGAGATTAAAATGAAAATCCATGTCATAAATTATTGAACAATGGCATGAACAAATACCAGGGCTCTATCCTGAAGTATCTTTTGTTCTGTTCTTCAGAATGTGTTATTAATTGGCATATTTTTTTAAACTTAGTGTGGTCACCCATAATGGAAAACTATTCAATCAAGAATAGCCTCCAGTGGCCAACAGTTAGAAATCCAGACTATGAAAGTTTTCCCATGAAATATTATTTAAAATGAGATTTCACACTGTGGTAATATGTATGGTGGATCCTTAAAAATTAAACACAGAATTACCATATGATCTACCATTCCCACTTTGGTGAAATTCCACTTCTGTGTGTATCATGAAAAAAATTGAAAGCAGCTGCCTGAACTGATATTTATCCACCGATATTCATTGCAGCATTATTGACAATCACCAAAGCAATCTAACTGTCCATCAACTGATGAATGGTTAAATAAAATGTAGTATGTGCATATAATGGAATCCCATTCATTATTAAAAAGGAAGGAAATTTTGATGTTGCTACAATACAGATGGACCTTGAAGACCTGCTGAGTAAAGTGAGTCCAGACACAAAGGACGCAAAAGGGCAGATAGTGTTCATTTCACTTACATGAAGCACTTAAAATAGTAAAATTATAAATGCACAATGCAGAGTGGTAAGGAGGAAGAAGCAGAGAGTTATTGTTTAATGGTGACAGATTTTCAGTTTGGGAAGATGCAGAAGTTCTGGAAATGAGGGTGGGGGATGGTGGGGGAGGATGCCCAGCGGTGTGACTGCTCAGTGTCACCGAAGGTGCGTTTGGAATCGTGAGAATGATGTGTGAACCAGTCTCCATTTTGCACAAGAAAAAAAAATTAATTTCCTATTGCCTCTTTGAAAGCGAGAATTTTAGCTATTGGATTTTTCTGATTAATGAAAATTAGAAAATTTTGACAGCACTTTCGCTTGTAACCACAGAGCAGAAATTTCAATATTACAGATTCTGACAAAATCTACCTGTTTTATTATTCAAAGAACTGTTGTTTGGTTTTTTCATTAGTAAGAATAGCAAGCACATGTTTTGCACTCTGCGGCCTTTCAGAAGTGTGACATCCGTATTTGGATTCTCCTATTTATATCAGGAAGCAATTTGAAAATTTTTTTGTATCTTAACTTGAAGATTGCATTGTCTTTGAGAGCATGTGTTTTCAATGTAAAATGTGTTCTTAGTCTAATATGTAAAAATTGGCCAGTTTTGTCTATGTAAAGTAACTTTAAACCAGAGATTAACCAAGTTATATAATAGAAAAATAATGCGCTCTTATAGATCAGCTTTCTTCTAAAAGTTTTATTTAATGTTCACCTTTTCTATCTTGTATTATTCATTTAGTTCTGAGAGGCAGTTTTACAAATCGAGGAACTGACTGCTGACATGTTAGCTATGGTGAAAAGAGAATTGATTCATATATCAATTAAAGAACATGCACTTTTTTGCATCACTACCCTTTTAGACGCCAGGCTTCCAAACAATGAGTCTCAGTTGTCAAGGAGCGTTGAGAGGTGGGAAGGTAGACTCGTGATAGGTGGGTCTGGGGCTTCTTCATGCCATTAGGGGAGCAGGGAAATGGACAAGGAACTGGAGTGAGATTCCTGCGAGAACTAACACTTTAACTAGTACTTGAAGGATAAGTAGTTCCAGGTCAGAAAAAAGCCCATCACTCTGGGCACGGACTCCCTCCCCCCATTGCACTGGGAAAATTGATTGACGCAATATTTTACCATATTCACCTACTAAACAAACCAAAAACCATCTAGCCCATCCTTTTAACTATGCAAGTGAAAATTCTAAAACCCTGGGAGTCAAGTATCAATAGTGTGGTACTTTTTTTTCATTTCCATGACTTAAGTTGACCTGTCTGCCTGCTTTTCTCCAGCCTGAAGGATGCTCACCTAACTACAGCTAGCTTCGAGGTGCTTGCATCCTCCCCCGGCCCCCATTGGGTACTCCGAGCTCCATCCCACCCCTGTGTTTCTTTGCCTTCAACAGTTTCCCGACCAAAGAAGAGCTGGGGAAGGCCGCAGCACAACTGCTCAGCCCCAGGCTGATGGGAGAATCTTCTGAATCCTTCAGTGTCCCGGAAGACGAAGGCCAAAGGGAATACCAGGCCAATGACTCTGACTCCGACGGGCCCATCTTGTACACTGACGATGATGACGAGGAAGACGATGAGGACGAGGATGGCAGTGGGGAAAGTAAGCCAGGGGCAGGGAGGAAGGTGGCGGTGGGCAGGAGCAGCTGTGTTTTGTAAAGCCTGAAAGTCTCAGCGGGAACCAGACAGACACCTGCTGTTTACCCGCCCTTCCTCTTTCCTTTGCAGAGACTCAAAATACTAGGTTTTTTACATCAAATTGTACTGAATTACCCTTTGTTTACAAAACTATAGAACTTGAGGGGTAGAACATCTCCCCTAACCTGTGCGTGTGCTCATCTGCCTCCAACTAAGTGCCAGTGTCAATAACTACCACCTTATAAGATTTAGCTTTTAATGACAGACCTTCCAGATGATTCTACGGATGGGGTGGGGGGGAGGAGAGGGTTGGGCCTGAGTCTGTGAGGCTGTTACAAATATTTATATGTGTACAAAGAGTCAAAGCTGGGTGAAGCCTTTTTTAGATTGATCAAAGATGGACTTCTACCTGGAGCTACTGTCTCCTCTCCTCTGCCCTCTCTCCCACACCCCCTGCCTCAAGCGCTTGTAAGCACTTCATGTGTCTGTGTATGCATGCATGTTCATTGAGGTAATGTTGGTTTACAAATGGTTTACTAAATCATACAAATATGATTTAGTATGCGAGTTAGTGTGATTGGTTCACAGCCTCTTCAGATGTCTGTTACTACACCATGCCCTCCACCAAAGTCCCAGTCGTCTTCCACTGTAGACCACTGGGAACTTTCTCCTCTGATGGCTTCAGTTCTGCAGTCAGATGTCTATGGCCTGTGTTGTGTTGGGTTTCTCTGTTCCTTTGGTTTATTTCTTTATATTCCACGTAAGAGTGAAGTCATCCTGTATTCGTCTTTCTGCTGACTTATTTCACCTAGCATAATTCCTTCCATTCAGATTGCTGCACGTGACAAGAATTTGCCCTTTTTTTAATATAGCTGAGTGGTGTTACATTTTTTTTTATATGTATCTTCTTTATCCACTCGTCTGCCCTTGGGCACTTACGGAAATTACAGTCAAGTCCAATTTTTGACTAAAGAGCATCAATTCAGCGTTCACTGAAGTACTCCTTGGAAGTGTTTGAGAGTTTCACTCACTTTTATCCTGGTGTTTAAAGAGGTGGAGGAATGAATCAAGGATGACAAACACCTTTTAAGATTTACAGACTCTCATCCTTCTAGGGAAGAATGCTAGTAAAGTGGATTAAGTCAGCCATTAATGTATAACTTAGGGAGTGGAAAATGCTAGTTTTTTTAATCTTCTGAGCAGAATGATGACTTCGGAGAGACTCTAGAACTGAATTTAGAGATTATGAAAAGCCACTGGTATATTAATAAGTAAACAACACTTTGTCAAACTCCTAGTTTATTGAACAAAAGCAATTATCATCAGCTGGTATTAGCAATCAGCTGGTGAGATATCAAGGAGTGTGGGGTAACTTTGGCTTATAACATTGGTATCAAAGGTAGACTTGATTCCATGTGGTTTCTAAATAAGGAAAAGAAAAAGCAAAAATTTACTGCGCAGTAGAAGTAAAGGGCTGTTTTTACAACGTGAAAAAAAAGAAATAACATTATGCAATCAGTAATTTCCATGACCTGCCTTCTCAACAGAACCGATTTCAAAGATCACATTTGAAATGATGAGGTGATACCTGCAAGGATTTTCATAGTGCCCCAGCATTTTTCAGAACGTTTCTAAAAACATTTCATCAGTTAAAATGAACCACATCCAACTCACAACTTTCCCCCCTTCAATTAGTTAAAATTCCACTCTTGCATGTGGATAAAGAGTTTCGCTTGGACTCTGTGTCAAGCCCACGCCATGTATAACCTGAGCACTGCCTCCTACAGCCTCTCTTTGTGTTTCTGCCTCTTCCAATCCTCAGGTGCTTTGGCAAGTAAAATACGACGAAGGGATACCCTTGCTATCAAACTTGGCAACAGACCATCTAAGAAAGAATTGGAGGACAAAAACATCTTGCAGCGTACGTCTGAGGAAGAGAGGCAGGAAATCCGACAACAGATCGGAACCAAGCTGGTCAGGTAATGGCTGAAATTTTAGTTCAGCGACTGACAGTTCATGCTCTTCTCCCCCCTTCAGTGTCCTACCTACCTAAGAGGGTTGTGAATCCCATGCGTTAGGGCACACCCAGCCTTCCTGGGGAGCCCCACTCCCTGCTATCAGTCAGGCATCCAGGTTCCTTCTGTCTTGTTGCTCCTCCGTCTCCTTGGATAGTAACATTGGCATATTCCGAGCTGGTTCACAGGGCCATGTTTATGTTCCAGCCTGTAGAAGAAGGAAAGGGAAGAAGACAACACAAACCCAAGCATTTAAAATGCCACAATCAGAAGTTTGAAAAACCTAACTTCTGCTTATATCTGTTAGCGAAGAACTCAACCACAAATCATTGTTGTTAGGAGCAGAAGTCTGTAGCTGCAAGTTACAGCTAAGGCTGTTCTAAAAGGAAGAAGGGATAATGGATAATGGGGAGTAGTTCACGATCTGAACTGCAATCTCCTAATTTATGAAAAGGGACTTTTATAAGTTTAAAATTTGATCTTGTTTCTCAAAGGGGACAAAATACAGCTTTCTTGTTTTATTTTGTAGCCCCCACTAGAGAAGGCCGTGTCTGTAACTTGCTGTGTATAAATATTGCTTATGTCCTTTTTGTCATCCTAGGAGACTAAGCCAGAGGCCCACAACTGAAGAATTAGAGCAGAGGAATATCCTAAAACGTGAGTATCCTATGTGATACAGCCTCCTTGTGTAGTCATATCAGGCTCCCGGTAGACACTATCCATTTATCAGAAGTAAACCTTGATGTATTTATTCACAAGCGATTGAAATGGCCCATTTATATTGCATTTATATGTAATTTTTTGTATAATTTTAAATATAATTTCTTGGTGTTTATACTTCATTTCCCAGTTTTGAGCCCACTGTCCCTGACCAGAGTTGCAAGTGGTGACGATTATTTTTAAGTAAATGAAATACTTGCCAGATATTCTTTCACCCAGTTATTAAATGGAGGGGAAAGTGCTACAGTGTGTTTACAAATAAATGTCAAGGAAAAGATGGAAGAATCCACAGGGAAATAAACTGAACATTCCTATATTATTATTAATCATACATACACATTGTTGCCAGGCTTAACAATAACTAAATTTAAAACAGAATGATGGTTAAAGGGCTCTCCATCCATTTCATTGTCCTTTGTTAGGATAACTATTGCTATCTGAGTTATTTATAATCTCTTGGCACTTAGGATGTTCATTTTCTTTATTTTCCATCCTATTTTCTTTGACTTTGTTACTCACTAGTCCAGTAGAATTTGTGCTTGGAGTTTCTATGTTAAAACTGTAAATCTAAGAGAAACCCTAGGTATTGAGCTGCCCTGTAGTGATGTAGTTTCTAACCACAGTGAGTTAAATAATGGATATTTTAAATTGAGCCTAGCTGCAGTTTTATATATTATTAACTCGTTTTCACAAGAGCTCTTGATGGGATGAAATATCAAAGGGCATGGTGGGTACAACTCCAGATAATATTACAATAGTAATTAGTCGCTGGCATGAGCGAAGTCTTTTCCTGTTTGGATGATCCTCATTCTGAAATCGGTATTGTTTTCTTTCTTGAAGAAAGATTTTTTTTTGAAATATTAATTTATTTAAGTGTTCAGAACTGGGGTACAAGTCAGAGATGCAGGGTGAGAGGATTTGCCAGAGACAAAATGGAGAGCAGAACAGGCAGATTGATGAATGCTGCTGAGGGGAGTCATGGGCAAAACAGGAGAGGTCTGTGGGCGCCATGTGGGTCCCCTACCTGGGATCGAACTCAGTGATGTTGCTGCAGTCAGCTTCAGTGCTGTGCTTTAACCAGTTGTGCCACCAAGGAGGGCCCCCTGAAGAAAGGTTTTAATAGCATTTTTATTCTACAGTTGCTATTACTGAGACAACCCAACAGTAAAGGCTGACCCGTGAGAGGAACCTCCAATTCATGGGAATTTTTCCTTGGACTCTTTTTCTCTGGCTGTGCGCATAACTGGTATAAGACACCAAAAAGGATTTAAGTGAACCATACATGTGTAGAAGAGCCCCTTTAGAGAGGGGAAAGTCATGGCTAGGAAAGGAAAACTTAGCTTTCTGGGAAGGACAAAAGTAACATCGGATTTTGACAACAAACAAATGCAGAAAGGCTGATGGCTTCTGATAATGAGCTTCTGAAAAGTATTTGTTGAATTAAAGTGTCTTGATGAGCTTCAAAAGCAGGTCCTAAAACCCAGAGACTGTATCTTATTGGATGCCTGATGCAGTACGTGGAAAAAGGGGAATCACACATTCTGGGTAATTCTTTCCTGGTCCTGTGAGACTGGGTGCCAAGCCACGCTGGTGTTTGGTTATTTGAGGAACTGTTTCAGAGTCTAGAAATTTATTGCATGTTAATCTTAAGTGCTGCGTTGCCTTTTATCCCCCGTTTTCCTGAAGGTTCAGGAAGGAGTGAAAACGCCAAAGTCAACTTCAGATTCCACTCCAGCCATTTTTTTACTTCCTTCTTAGTTTTTCTAAGCATGCTTATTCTGGAAACAAAAGACACATTTCCAGTCTGGAGAGAATGATAACTGGCTTGTGATCTCTTGACTTAATGTTCTACAATGAAGGGGAGCGGAGAGGAGAATGGAGTGTGGAGGGGACATCCAGTGAGGGGGCCTGTCATCCCACAGGTCTGAGTGGCTTCACTTAAAGCACTTTATTCAGCTCCTGCCAACCTCAGCTTCTGCCACATAGATTGCTCTTATTTTGTTCATATTTCATCTCCAGCTTTTTGGAAAGGCAACATGATTGTCTCTTCAAAGAAAAGTCTCGATGTGACATGGTCAAGTTCTTAGGTTTATTTTTTTATTTTTTTTTTTGAAAGATTTATTTATTTATGCATACAGAACTGGGGTACAGCCAGAGGCCCAGGGGCAGTGAGAAGCGTCACCAGAGACAGAGTGGGGAGCAGAACAGGCAGATCAACGAAGTACACTGCTGAGGGGAGCAGCGGGCGGGCCAGGAGAGGTCTGCCACGCCGCGTGGTTACCTCCGGGGCAGACGGGGATCGAACTCATGCGGAAGCGGCTTTTAGATTCTCAGTGCTGTGCTTTAACCCGTTGCGCCACAGGGAGGGCCCTTAGGTTTATTTTAACTGTTTTTTTTTGTTGTTGTTGTCATTTGTTAACATGTCTGTGTAACTTTGGGGGGGCTACATTTTTACTCCTCTATACATGGATATGCTTCATGCACCCGCCGCCAACCCTCACATGTCCCCTTCTGTCCTTACCTAGCCTCCCCTGCCCTTTCTTCTAGGAACCAGTGCCTCTTTCATAGAGTCTGAGAATTGCTTTTGCTGTGCTTTGCCAGTACATGCTTTATATTCCACGGATAAGTGGAATATCTGACACCATATCTGTCTTTCACTTTCCAACTTCATGTAGCATCCTCAGCAAGGTCCTTCCATACTGTCCCCAGTGGTCCTACTTTATTTTTATCAATAGATGACTCATATTCCACTATGTATACAGTCCATAATTTCTTTGTCCAGTCATATGTTGTTGGACAGTCAAAATGGTTCTGACTTAGTGACTGTGCAAAGTCCTTCTTTGAACATAGGAACACATAAGGCCCTTAGTATAAGAACCCATCACAAAAACAAAGATTTGTGCATATCACACATCTGACAACAAAAATAACAAAACAAAAATAACATAAACAACCCAATCCAAGTTGGCGCTTTTCTAAAGGAGTTCAAATGGCCTGTGGACACATGAAGAGTTGGTCAACATCACATATTAGAAAGACACTTACTTCTAATGGGTCATCTTGAGACAAGGGATGAGTTCACAGCATACAACACCAAGCTGTTCTTATATTTGAGCCCATCACTCGTTTAGTATACATGAATCAGATGGCATTCAGTGTCAGTCACTTTGAGAACACAGGACAAGTTTTCTTTCTTAGTATCACATCTTACGTGGTCTTTTACCCATTTGAGTGCATCTAGGATTTTTAAAAACAAACAAAAAAAACACAGTAGTTGTTTATTTTAGAACCAGTTCCTTAAAGTTTCAAAATCAAAAGCAAATTTGGGTGCTTGAAAGGGCAGCTTTTACTTAGCAGATAAATTGAGGTAGATAGAATGCACTTTACAAGGCAGAGATTAATGATACTGATCTTCTCTTACCCTTTAGCTATAATTGTAATTTCAGCCCTATATTCAATAGTGGAAAAAGTATTTTAGGCCATTGAGAGCTACCTGCATTTTGCCCCAACATCCAGTATGTAAAATTTTAAACATACATAGAAGTGAAAAGAATTTTACAGTAAAAACCACCTATCTTCTGCCATTAACATCTTGTTTTATCATATATCTGTCTGCTGCTCCATTTCATTTCTTTCAATGTATTTCAAAATAATGTGTACTTTTAGGTCCTCCTTGGTGGCACAACGGGTTAGGACTCAGTGCTGCAAGTTGGCCACAGCCACTTCAGTGCGAGTTCGATCCCCGGCCCTGGAGGTGACCAACATGGTGCAGCAGACCTCTCCTGACCCGCCCACTCTTCCCCTCAGCAGTATATTTTGTCAGTCTGCCTGTTCTGCTGCCCACTCTATCTCTGGTGAATCCTCTCGCTGTCCCTGCACATCTGGCTTGTACGCCAATTCTGTATGAATAAATAAATATTTTTTAAAAAAGAAAAAAGATGTTAAAAAAGTGTCTGAATATACTTTATACAAAAATAATAATAATAATGTGTACTTTTATTTGTTAAAAAGACACCTGTAGAAAATGAGTAACAAAAAAGAAATCCACAAAAGAATGTGTGGCTTTTTATTTTTACCCATGTATCTGAATAAATGATTCCAGAATATAATACTCCAGACGTTGGTATTTTGGTGCTTTCTTTTCTTCTCCTTGTAGTGCATCCACAAATGCTCTGGGCATCACTTGCTGACCAGGTCCTGTTCCTGCTGTGCCCACTGCTGTTAGCACACATATATTATTTGTATATTTATGGGAAAGGCTCCTTCCCTGCTCCTCTGCTTCATATAGCATCAAGATTTGTCAGGTATATCCCTCCAAGTCTGTTTAAAAATGACCGGAAAATATACATCCCATTTTCTAATCAGCCCTCAAATCAAGCAATGACGGAATCATGCAAAATATTCAGGGAATATTTTTAAAGTAAGTTTAAAGTTTAACCTTGGCTTTTTATAAGAAATCTTACAATGACTAATCTTATTAAAGGTTCAGAAGAGTAGCACTTGGCTTCCCTCCACCCTCGTCTTCCTCCTCTAACTTCTTTAGAAGCATAACTTTGAATATGGGCCGTGTAAGGAAGCAGTCCCTGATGTTAGAAATGAACCCCCAGATATTAATATCCTGTGTATCTAACTCCCCTAATTGCCACTGCACCTTCTCTTTTTTAACATCACTAGCAGTGACCTCGATGTACAATATGCCTAATAAGGTAAAATGATCTAATATTCCCTTTAAGAAAATTACCTTTTGTATATTTCAGGAAAATTGGAACATTTGTTAGCTCCGAGTCCTGTTAGATACCCAATTTCTTGTAGTGTAATGTAGTGTAATTACTCTATAGGAAGAATTGACTGAAATGTTTTCAGAATCACAATTTTCTTTTCATAAGTCATATCTGAAGCCTGGCCTTATAAAGTCCTAATTAGACTCACATGAACTGCAGTTTATGTTTGTCTATTATGTGTAATTTGCATCCTTTATGCTTTATCCAACTCATGTAAGATAAATTTTTTACACAAAAAATATATTTTAAGCCTGTATATTTTGTGAAGCAAGTTGTTAAAAATACAGTATTTTCATAGAACAAAATCTGAATGATAGCCAAATTTAGTGGCCAGTCACAGGCACTCAGTGAAAACACACTAACTAGTTATTTCTTGTTTTGCAGGGTGAGTTCAGTTTATGTTCACTCTTTTTCTACATAGCCACACTGATCATCCTCTTTCTTATGTATTAAAATTAGTATGTAGAACGTTCCCCTGCCTAGATAAGGAAAATAGAAAACTTAGCACACTGAACTAACAGATATTGAATAGCAAATATTGAATACTGATATTCAATCATGAGAAAAATAGTCCAAGACCTCTATTTGGATTTTTAAGATACAAATAATTGTATTTCATAGAAGAGACTTCTTTTTCATCCTGTTGGGTGAACCTCTTTCCGGTGTGATATTTTTTTCTTCATTAGAATTCATGACTTCTCTTTCTAGTCAGCTTTAAGCTATGGAATACTTTTTTTAATCACTAGGAATATTTCACTTTCTGAAAGATAATCTTTCCTCTGTCTTGGTATCCAAGAAGTAAAATCTTTTTCACTTACTGAACAAATAATTAGCTACAGGAAACAACAGAGAGAAATTCATCAAATGAGCAACCATTAAAATCTCAAGGGGTATTTATTTCTTTTAAATTTCTGAACTTTTTTTTCTTAATCCCATCTACTGGACAGCATTTGCTCAAGTTGGCTATTAAGTTGTACTACTTGGTAAAGCACTAAGGGAAAGAGATGACTTTGGAAAGCCAGAGTCACAAGAAAATAAATAATCTCCATCCATAGTACACCATAACCCCTTTGAGAACATTCTGGTTTGAAAGCAAAGGCCAAAGAAATGATTATACTCTGCTTCTATGGAAACCAAAGCAGACAAATCAAGTATTTTGGTTGGATTTGAATGAAATCAGCAACTCAGACATGCATCAGATGGTTCTAATTTGTTCTTTTGATATGTCTCAGATTTTCCCATGAATACCAGGTCCAGAAGTACATTTTTTTTCTGAATTCTGATAAATTGTACTTATAAGCCCATGAGATGACCAGCAATGAAAGGCTTTCACAAGGATTTGGATATATGGGCACTCATCATTTTTTTCAGAAGAGACTAATGTATCAGGAAGCAGAAAGGTTTATAGTTAATAATGAACTAATTCTGTGTGGGAAAAAGGATCTGTTTTTCTGCAAAAATGTTTAATGACTAAAGATGTTAAAGATGTTAGTGGGGTATTTAATTATTATCTGTTAGGGTCAAAAAATTGTTAGGGTTTACTTTTATGATTATAAAATAATTTGTAGTAACTAACTGTTTATGCCTTTTCCTCTCACTGATGAGCAGAAAAGAATGAAGAAGAAGAACAAGAAGCAAAAATGGAACTTAAACGCAGACTCAGCAGAAAGGTGATGAAACTATGACTATTAATGAGCATGTGTCTTCTGAGATATACTGTATTTTTTAAATGCAAAGCAACTCTCTTCATGTAAATTTGATACTAGGATTAACTATTTCTGTGAGCCTACTAACTACTCAGAGACATGACAATCGATGTAATGTCTACAGTATGAATTATGTTTATGCTTACCATTGCATGGTTATATTAATTCTGAAAAGTTAGTCAAACGTTCTAAGCTGTATTTATTGGTTAGAAAAATAACAATCTGTTTAAAAAAAAAAGTAACACAAAATGGATCCCCAAACAAAAATGGAATAGGAAAAAAACACACACACAAAAGTCTTCCATTCTGAGATAACCATATTTAACATTTCGATGTAGTTTTTTGTAAGTGCTCACCCTTTCAGTGTAGTCTTGGAAGTATTAAAGAAATATTTTATTGCTATTGAGTATTCCCCACTTTCTTTATTACTGAGTAGGAGCCATTATTCAGTATCTGAGCAGGGTGAGTAATTTATTAAGTGCACTTGGCCATCCAGCTGGCCTGATGCAGGGCTCCCCAAACTGAGAAAGTGCTTACTGGCAAAATTCAGACAACTGTTTCCACCCACTTGTGAAAACAGAAATCTGATACCAAGGTCATCCTTTTTTCTCTAGGTGTTAATAACTCTTTGGAAAAACTAAGCACTCTCAAGAGTTTAGATTTCATTGTAAATCCTTGCTCACTAATTCTTCAGATGCCCCTTTCCACCTGGAAGAGGGCCTTGTGAGTAAAATATGGCCTTTGCAGTGAAATGGCCTGACCCACATTTTTTTGGGCTGAGGAGTCCATAGCAAGAACATTCGAAGGCAGGCAGAAGAAGCAATGCATTCCCATGAAAGAGTTGTTGAGACTATTTTGAGAGTTTGTGGTTTTGATTTTTAGAAAAAGCTCATCTCCTTTTTTCTCAAAGACCCAAAATGTCAATAACAAGCTGAAAAGCTCGTAAACTGAATTTCTAGAGATGGCTGTTCTCCTTTTCAGTAGCCATTAAGTTACCAGCTACAGATGAGCTGTAGTCCCCCTTCCTTGTGTCAGGGTCTGCCCTCCACGCACACAGTCTTCTCTCAGCCCAGCTGGGCGCCTGATGGAGGCCACATTAGCGTCTCTCCTTCCCACCCCTGGCACCCACACGCCATAGTGCCACAGCACCACCACCTAGCCCGTGGCTGGCTCGGTCCTGAAAGGCAAGTCTGGATGGAAAGTGTCTGTGCTGGTCACTGCCTTTAGCTCAGTCTTGAGAGAAACGGATTTCTCTATCTCCTTATTCTCCCCTGCCCTGGAAAGTTAGTAAGATGTTAGCAATAGATCAGACAGCAACTGAGAATGTAACAGAACTATTCATATCATTCCTTCCTTTGTCCATTGCCTCCCAGAGCTTCAGGAAGATGGAAGGAGCCACGGTTGCCATATCCCAGCCCAAGTGTGCTCAGAGCTGAGCCAGGACTTCTAAGAGTTCTTAACTGCTTTGAATGTTAGAGAGTTATTTTAGTTCAGCCTGTGGTTTTACTCAGGAGAAACCAACGGGGTGTTTTTGACCACAGAATGTAGCCCAGTGTACTTCCTTGAGCCTATGCAAATAAGGAATACCTCCAAAGACGAGCCCTTGAACAGTGGAGAGTCTAGCTGTACACACAGGCCGCGTCAGAGAGAACGTGAATCTGCTGGGTTAAACCGAGGCCTGGGGCCAGCTGACTGATAACATGGGACATGCCGATGAAAGAGGCCACAGAGAGTGACCTTCAATAGCTGAGAGTAACAGATACCTGTCGACGAGGGGCCAGTATCAGTACCATTTCTGTCTTATTCTTGGGCCTGAGAAATGACCAAGAAAGGAAAGCAGATGTACAAGTCTGGGTAGATTAAACATAACTGTAAGTTTGAACTTGATCAAGACCTCAGTAAAGGAAGCATCTTAGTGGCTGCTGCTGATTCTAAGAAGTCCTGGCATCACTGGCGGGCAGTTCTGTAACAATGCCCCTCATTCCTGCAGTTAGCTTTAAGGGCCCCAGGTGGACGTTGAATCAGGGCCTGAACCTTATTCTTTCATGGGAGACTGCCCAGCCTCCCCTTCACTGGATCATTTCCTAGTCATAACGTTGCCCATTTCTGAATATGCAGGTGTAATATCAATGGGGACAGAGATTTTCATTCTCCTAAAAGTTGCAGAGCCTTGATAATGCAACACCCCCTGCAACACCCCCACCCCAACTAGCCATCATGTACTGGAGGACTTCTGTATCCGTGTCTCTCTGTCTTCCCTGAGTCGGGGGTGACAGATGTCTTTATCACAATGCCAGGCAAGTGGGGGAAATAGCATGATGCAGATGGCTGTCAAAGACAGTGACCTATCTAAAGATGATGATTTTTATAGTCTCAAAATTAGGACACATTGCTTTCTAGTTCTCATTAGGAACTCCCAAGATGGGCTTGCCTTTTTTTTGCTATCTGAAAGTGACCTTATTTAACTATAACTTTGAAGTTTTCTATGGAAAACATGCCACCAAGAGGCTCCAAATATTTACTGAATTTGTCTTTGCCTCCTCCTCCTGCAGCTCAGCCTGAGACCCACCGTGGCGGAATTGCAAGCTCGGAGAATCCTCCGGTTTAATGAGTACGTTGAAGTCACCGATTCTCCCGACTATGATCGCCGGGCGGACAAGCCCTGGGCCAGGTTGACACCTGCAGACAAGGCAAGAATGCTGGTGACTTTAGCCATGACTTTATTTATTTATGACTCAATTGAATTGCAAAGTGCTCCATACCCACTTACTTCCCTGACACGTATATATTAATCATCTTAAGAGGTGAGGCATTTCCCTAGTTTTTTGCTTTTGATTATCTGTGCTACTTAGGTGATATGTATTTGACATTATCAAGATAGTTCTTTCAACCAGGTCAGTAAACACTAGGTACCATGTAAGCTGCCTACAGTCAAGCCAGGAAAGGAGAGAGGGTTTTTCCCAAGCTAGGATTTGTCCTTACAACCTTTAGGTAGTCTTGAAATCATCTTATGAGATATGAGGTAGACTGGGCCCTCCCTGGTGGCGCAGCAGGTTAACACACAGCACTAAGAAGTTAAAGCCACTTCAACATGAGTTTGATCCCTGCCCCGGGGGTGATCCTCATGACGCAGCAGACCTCTCCTGACCTGCCCACTGCTCCCTTCAGCAGTTTACTTTGTCAGTCGGCCTGTTCTGCTCCCAACTCTGTCTCTGGTGAATCCTCTCATCGCCCCTGCACACCTGACCTGTACCCTAGTTCTGTATGCATAAATAAGTAAGTAAATCTTTAAAAAAAGGAAAGAAAGAAAGAAAGAAAGAAATATGATGTAGACAGTGAGTCTACACTGCAGACCCTTGCTTCCCTGAACATAGACCATTCAGTGTGTTTTAGCCTAGTCACAATTCAACTAGCAGCCCTTTGCTCTTCCCTTTTCTTTTTTTTAATAGATTTTTTTTAATGCATACAGAATTGGGGTACAGGCCAGAGGTGGGGGAGGGGTGAGAGGATTCACCGCAGACAGAGTTGGAGCAGAACAGGCAGATTGGCAAAGTACACTGCTAAGGGGAGCAGCATGCAAGACAGGAGAAGTCTGCTGCGCCACGTGGGTCACCATCCTGGCTGAGGATCGAACCGGTGTGGAAGTGGCTGCCAATAGCTTTCCAGTGCTGTGCTTTAACCCATTGCGCCACCAGGGAGGGCCCTGCTCTTCCCTTTTGTACGTCACACTTCATTTGGAGTCATTTCCACTGCTCTACCTGCATTCCTCCTACACTTGGTCCTAACCATTCAGCAGCAATAAACTTTATTGTAGACTCCATATGATGTCAGATGTCCCATACAAAACACAAGACTTGGGGGCAGATACTGTGTACAGAGAGAACTATCACGGGATGACCTTTCTCAATCCTAACCCTCTTTCTTATCCTGTCTTATATTTTCTTCTGGCATTTTTTGTTCTTTAATATTTAAAAATTTTGATTATATGCACGTGGCAAAGAATGCACAAAACCACTGCACCATTTAATAAACACAAGACACCTGTATAGTAAGACCCTCCCTCTCAGGCTAAGAACTTCACTGGGGCATTACAAGTATTGCAAGCCCCGTGCCCACCTCCTTGTTTACGTGACCCTCCTTTCCTGAAGGAGTAACCATTACCTTGACTTTTGTGTTAATCACCTCTCCTTTTTTTATTTCTTTTTTCATTTTTGTTCACCTTCATATATATATATATATATATCCCTAAAAAACACATGTATAGTTGACCCTTGGACAGTACAGGTTTGAATGCCTCAGATCCAATTATATGTGGATTTTTTTTTTAATAAGTAGGACCTCAACTTACAGTTTCGGTAAATACAGTGTAGTACTATAAATACAGTCTCTCTTCTTTATGATTTTCTTTTCTTTATTTTTAAAGATTTCTTTTTATGTATTAACACATACAGGTGGCCTGGGGTACAGGCCAGAGAGAGGTGCAGGGGGTGAGAGGATTCACCAGAGACAGAGTGGGGAGCAGGTTAACTAAGTACACTGCTAAGGGGAGCAGCGGGCGAACCAGGAGAGGTCTGCTGTGCCATGTGCGTTAGAGCCCTGGTGGGGGATCAAACTCATGATGCAGTGGCAGCACATAGCTTGAAAGCACTGAGACTTAACCCCTGCATCACCAGGGAGGCCCCCTCATGTTTTTCTTAGTAACATTTTCTGTTATTGTTGTAAGGATACAGCTTACGCTGTACATAACATGCAAAGTGTGTTTTCAGTGAGTGTTTAAATCAGTAAGACTTTGGGTCAGCAACAGACGATTACTGTTTTAGGTCCATGTTCATTTTATACATGGATCTTCCACTATGGGCTGTGATCAGTGCTGTGTATATGTCTTGGTCTTTTCCCCAGATTGAGATCATGCAGTATCCTCTAGGTGTTCAGTCAACACAAAGGACTCTGGATTGATACAACAGTTCATTCTTTTCCCTGAAATATAATACATTGTTATAAGTGACAAATAATTATTCATGTAATTATTGGTGATTAGTTAATTTACAATTTTTAGGCTTACAAAATATATTTTATGAAAATTCTTGTACTGTCTTGAGGTTCACACATCTAAGACATTTTCAAACATATTTTCCTTGTGATGGAATTTCTGGCCCCTGGAATGTGTGAATGTTCAACTATAGTCGGCAGTGTCAACAGCTTTGCTAAGTGAGTGGTCCAACTTACTCCCCCAACAGTGGAGAGTAAACTTCCTGTAGCTATGTACCCTGGCCAGCATTTGATGGTCTGCCTTTTTTGGTTTTTGTTTTTCTTTTGACTACCTCGTGGTTATGAAATAACATCTTGCTGTGCTTTTACTTTGCCTCTCATTAATTATTAATGAGGTTAAACATATTTTCATACCTATTGGGCGTTTGGGTTCCACTTCTGTGAAGTGCCTGTCTTTTGTCCATTTAACTCCTAGGAGTTCTTCAGATATTCCAGTTATATTTTATATATTCATATAGTTTTGCTCATCTTGCTAATACATACACTCTATAAAAAGATTCTTAAGTTTAACACAATGAATTTATTAATCTTGTTATGGTTATGGTTTTTGTACCTTTAAAAGAATTCTCATACCAAAACCATGAATTTATTCTCCTATGCTATTTTCTAAAATTTTTAAAAATTTTTTCACATTTACCTAGAATTGCTATTTTACAAGGCATAGATAGGATTGTAGCTTTGTTGATCATCTCGTATGTGTTTGTTTTCTATGTTATTATTTGGTTTGACCTTCTTTTTCCTAATTTTTTTGGGGGACTTTATGAGGATTGTATATTTCTAATTAAAGATGCACTCTCTTAAATCAGTAATGTTCATCCTTGTTTTCTAATGTAAACACTGGAGGCTATAAATGTCCCTGTGTGTCAAACATGCTGTGTGGCCACACGTGGAAATTACCTGGAGAGCTTTAAAATTGTTGATGCCTGAGTCTCACCTCTAAAGATCCTGATTTGATTAATCTTGTATATGGCCTTAAGTATTGGGATGTTTAAAGTTTAGGGTCAGTGGTCAATGATTATACATGTCACATGTATCCTTGAAAACAATCTGTGGGACAAAAGATTCTAAATATATCTTACTCAGTTTTTTGTTTTTTGGTTTTTTTGGGTCTGCTTGATCTGTCACATACCAAAAGAGATCCTACACTATGGCTTTTCCTCTTTCTTGATAATTTTGTCCATTTTATTTCTATTTTCTGAAATCCTGTCAGTAGGGTACAGGTAAGTTTAGAATAATTACATTTTCCTTAGGAAAACTTTATTATGAGATTCTATTTATGCAAGTCTTTGTCTTATAATGCCTGTTTACTATTATTTTAAAAATTGATCATCAAGATGAATGAATTCAGACCCCATTACTACTATGAATTTTGGCTGTAAACCCACATGACAGCTGAGGTATCACTGTAGAGTCTCTGAATAGAGGTTAGCCTATCTTTCTCCTTGATTTACCATTAACCACCAACATGCAACTTTCTCTGTGGTACTTTGGGGTCAGATATTCTAGTTCCCTCTTGCGTTGAGAATATGCTGTGTAATCTCCATTTTCTGGCTAGAGGATCAATTTACTAGACTTTCTACCTTCGGCAGGTTTTGGCTGTTTGCCTTCAGTATCTCACCAGGCTGTGACTATGACACCCAAGTACTGGGTTTAACACAACAGACTCTGTCAAGGTCAATCTATCAAGGTCAAACCAGTTTCCTTTCATGCTTAGCTTATTTCTCTGGGTTTCGCCTTCTTTTTTTTTTCTTTTCTTTTTATGGTCATCATTCTTTTTACTCTCTTACCAATGGATCCATACATTTCAGACCATTTTTAAATGCTACATTTGGCATTATATGTTTCTCTATAGAAAGACTGGTCATGGCACCTGGTATGCCAACAGTGTAGACCTCTGTGCAGCTTCCTTCCCTCTCCTTGCCTTCTGTGTGGACTCTTGCCCATTTCCTCTTATTTATTGAGTCCCAGTTGACTTTGTTCCACTCACCATTTCTGGGCAGTGAACTATTCCAACACTTAGAGATGGAAAACAGCTGTTTTCTTGTCTTATACATTTTGTAGGTTGGGAGTTCAGTCAGGGCTCAGCTCGGTCATGTTTCAGTTTCTCAGAAACTGAACTCAGGTTACTCAGTGTAAGCTGGCAAAGGGACTGCCATGGCGGGACTGGGAAGGCTGCTTTACATCCCCAGTGTCGGCAGGGATGGGTCAGACACTGGACTCAGCTGGGGCTGTCCCACCTACATGTGAACTTTTTAGGGTGCTGGCCTCAGTTGTCAAACTTCTTTCCCCCTGTGTTTCTAAAACCACATAAAAGGCTGTGTGGCCTTATCTTTTTTTTTTTTTTTAATGCATACAATAACTGGGATGCAGGCCAGAGGTGTGGGGGTGTGTGAGAGGATTCACCAGAGTCAGAATGGGGAGCGGAGCAGGAAGATTGATGGAGTGGGGAGCAGCAGGCAAGACAGGACAAGTCTGCTGCACCATGTAGATCACCTCCCTAGCCGGGGATCAAACTTGTGCTGTAGTGGTTGTGGACAGCTTTATAGTGCTGTGCTGTAAGCCCTGTGTTACCTTTTCTGTTCCAGCTTTAGAGGGCCAGGGCCTCATTTCCACACCACATTCTATCAGTGACAGACATTCCATAAGGTCAGCCCAGGTTGAAAGGGAGGAGAGTGAATTCCCCCTCTTGTTTGGGTGTGGCAAGGTCGTAACTGTAGCAGAGCAAGTACACTGGAGAAATGAGTGCTGCCATCTTTGGCAAATGAAATTTGCCACCCACCATTCCCAGCTAGCTTACTACTCAGTACTAAACTTCAGAAAAGTAGGTGGAAGGTGCCCAGGTAAATGAGTAAACATCACAATGGGCGTGAAGAATGCAAGTTGTGAACATCTAAATGATTAACCACCCTTATATGAAGTCAGAAATTTCCATACCCTGGAATGGATCCTTTTTTTTTTAACACTATTGTCAGAAAGTATAGCTCCCCATCTCTAGCCAAACAGAAAAAGGTTTTCATTTAATTTTGTACTGGAACCAAAATTGGTTTTCGTGCTGGACTTCCAGGCTGCAGAGATGTGCTTGCTCAGGCTTTTTCCTACAGACTTCATTTCTGTTCAGAAGTGCTTTGAAAGCACATGACTTTTGCGTCTCTCTGTAGACGGAATCCTTAGCCCCACAGCCCGAGCCAAAGCCCCAGCCTGCTCACATGGGAGGCTCATTTTTCACCTCTGACATTGTTTCTTCCACTTCTTCCAAGTCTTTTTTTTAAGCCCTGAAAGACAGAACTGGATTTATTTTGAGGTGAACTTTGCCCTGGAAGCAAAAATAAGGATAATTTCTTCTAGAAAAAATTATGTGATTTTTAGATGTTCTTTTAGAATGAGGCAAACACATGCTAGTCATTTTAACAGGTATTACTGAGTTCTTGTACTTTTTTAAAATAAAATACTTTGCAATGCATATTGCTCAGAAACAAAATAATATGTTTAATATGTCAACTGGTACAAAAATCTGTAATATGACTTTTATGTTTAAAAAAAACAAATTTGAATTTTTAACTTTTGGATCATCTAGTGCCCATTTTTTTAAAAAAAAAATGTATTGAAAGCAACTATTTCCACCTCTGGATTCAAAGTAAACACTGGACTTCCTGCCAACCTCAAAGAGCAATCAACCCCTTCTTTCTCTCTTTTTAGTGTTGCTTTCAAAGGCCCCTCATATATATACACCACTTTGCATTTTTAAAAATCATTGAAATTCACTAATGAAAAAAAGGGATCAGTATCTAGTCAGTCAATAAGCAGCCAAGAGCATTCTGTGAAAACACTGCATGAGGTGTTGGAGGGAATCTCAGGAAGCTGATCGTCTTGTTAAACTGCCCACGTTGGAAAAGAGAAGTGAGGGGAGAAATGCCTTATTAACTGTGAACTTGGTTGGGATTAAATCCGTTTTATAATGAAAATGTTTAACAGTGGATGTACTTGTGTACAGTGCTCGAAACAGATGCATGTGCATTAAGAGATAAATGACCTCATTTCTTCTGCTGAAGTTGATAAATGAGCCCTCGCTGCCAGGTGGAACCAGAGAGGGTCGTCTGTTCTTTGCTTGAAGATCCAGGCTGCACATAGCAACTGCTGTCTCCCTGAAGTGCGACCAGGAAGCTCCATAGTTGGGAGGGAAGAGGGTAGACTTTGGGGCTGGGCCCTTCTGAGTCTGATCCTGATTTGGCCATTTGATTGTTGCTTGACCTTGGCAAAGTTATTTGATGTGCATTTCCACACTAATACAGTAGAGCCAGTTATATCTGTCTTGAGAACTAGATAGAGTATCTCCTCTCTCCAGCTCACCAATAGCTGGTAGCTCTTACCATATTACATTCCTCATTAGACTTCAAAATCCAAACTTTATTGCATGTGGTGATATGTTCACTATTCATCAAAGCCATAGTTTACGACCTGGTATAAAATGGTCACAAGCAAGTGGAAATGATTTACAACTAAAAATGAACGATGTCACATTTTTTCTTTTGGAGGTGTCATGTCCCATTTGATTCGCAGAATACTTTTGATTGACTTCTGCCAGACTCTGTGCAACCTACTATGGAGATTAGACTTTGCCTTATTTCTCAGTGAGTCTCCATCAGTGACATTATCTTCTTGTAGATGGTAGAGTCTATAAAAGAAAATAAAAGAATCATTAGTCACAGTCACAGCTAAAACTGATTTTTTGTAAACCTCACAACAATGGCATTTTATTGGATACTTACAATGCATAGGGTATTTTTGAATATGCTCTTAGTTGAATCTCCTACTATGGTGAGAATCATCATCCAGTTTTCTAGATGGCAAAAGAGGTTTTGGAGGCAAAAGAGGTCACAGAGGGTCATGTTGTAATAAAGGCACATAAGGGACCTAATCCATGTCCTCTGAGTTGAGTACACTTCTTTTCACTTTCTCTACTGAAACTGTTACTTTCAGAGGAGAATTTTTTAATTACACACACACTTTTTTTTTTATTGGAGTTCCGTTATTTTACATCCTTGTTCACTTTTTCACAACAGAATATTTCTTTCCTTTGGTGTGGTTACCACAGTTCTCTTGCCCCCAACGCATTGGGGAGTCTCCACCATAGGCCACTGTGCGCTCCTCACCTGTTTTTCTCCTCCTCCTTTCCCCTTTTCCCTCCCTTCAGAAGAGAAATTTAAAATGAACAAGGAGGCAGGATCCTCTGCCACTATCCAAATTAAACTATCACCTTTCACGAAGACCTTTTGCTAGATGTTAATTGGCAATTTGTATGAAGATCTTCACTACTTTGGTTTCTGGTAGGTTATCAGTTTTTACAGCTAGTAAAACAACCACTACACTGTTGATCTCACCGGGAGATAAGCTATTATGGTCTTATCAAAGGGCACTTATCCCATATATTTTTCTCTGTTTGCTTCATCCTTTCCAAAAGTCAGTAGTAAGAATTATTGCTATGGTTCCCAGCAACAAGGACAAAGGAATATATTTGGGATGACAAGACAAAGCTTGACAGCAGGATTTAAATATAACATTGGAAGGGGCCTGGGGAGAACACTTACATATTGCAGAAAGACAGCTAGTGCTGAGAGAAAGCCAGAGAGAGTTCTCAAGGCTTGCTTTTGTTTTCCCGTTTTCTAAAATTCATCATTATCCAACCACAAAGTAGATTTTCTTATCTTGCAGTGAAGTCATTCTCTATAGCTTGTTTTTTTTTAAAAGATTTATTTATTTATGCATGCAAGAACTGGGGTGTAAGCCAGAGATGCGGGAGGTGAGAGGATTCACCAGAGAGAGGGGGGAGCAGAGCAGACAGATCTATCGAAACACACTGCTGAGAGGAACAGTGGACAATTCAGAAGAGGTCTGCTGCACCATGTGGGTCACTCCCTAGCCAGCCAGGGATCATGTTTGCAGTGGCTAGCGATAGCTTGAGAGCTCTGGCTTGACCCCCTGTGCCACCATGTTGGCTCCTCTTTGGTTTTTAATGTTATTCTGTGTTTTTACTAAAAAGTCCACTTGTCATAGATGTGATGGGGGTGTTTTTATTAGTATTTTTCACTTAATGAGGAAGCCATTCTTTGCCCAAAAAAATTAGAAAATAAAAACAAAACTCTCTATGACTCATCCTCCTTGTTAATATGGGTAATTAAGATGAATATTTCCTTGAGTGGCTCAGCTCTCCAGCCAGACTGACATGAACCTCTCTTCAAACCTGACTAGGTGCATGGATGGATTATATGTCCCTAAATAATAGTAGTAATAACATTTTATTTGTTATTTCCTTCGAGTAGTTTTCAGTCCTTTGCTGCAGTTGTTATTTCTGATTGTCTAAACTTCCAGCATTAAGAAACAGTAGCTCCATGGTAGTCAGTTAGAGTCATGTCATTATCAATGGTTTTTTAAAAATGCAGGACTTTCACAAGAAAATGATGGTGTCTCAAAAAATCTCATGACCCCCACTTTCCTGTGGTCATCGAGGACAGAGGATGTGTGACTCACAGATCAGGCCCGGGGTGAATTTAGCCAACGCCCCCTACCCTTCCACCCCAACAACAATGCTTGAAGGATACCTACCAGCTTTAGTTTGTGTATTTACAAATAGGCAGTTCCTATTTACAATGGTAGTTCCCGATTTACAATGATTTGATTTACAATAATTCAACTCTGTGATCGTGCAAAAGTTTTCTTCTCCTGGATCAGTGGTACTATGTGACCCTGGACAACCAACCACAGTTCCCCGTCAGTCACGTGAGCTCTAGGGTAAACAGCCTGTACTCTGTACTGTTGTAGCATGTAAGTGTTCTGAGAATATTTAAAGTAAGCCAGGCTAATAAGCCTGGTAGGTGAGGTATGTTGGAAACATTTTTGACTTAAATATTTTTAGCACAACAGTTTTATCGGGAAGTAACCCTCGCATCATAAGCTGGAGTATGCAGTGTGCTATACATTTACCATCCCTTTACCTCGTAGAAATCAGGAATCCCTTGCTTTCTTAAAGACATTTCTGAAAAGATTGTCTGCTTCATAGATACACTATATGCTGAAAAATATGTGACCTGAGTAACAATTCTGTTTCTATGTTTTTCTATTTAGGCAGCAATAAGGAAAGAACTCAATGAATTTAAGAGCACAGAAATGGAAGTTCATGAAGAGAGTCGACAGTTTACAAGGTATGTGAGTTCATTCACGTTAGTCTATTAAAAGTGACTAAGATGGTACATTTTCTGTTACATGTATTTTACCACGATTTATTTTTTAATACAGGTTAGCAGATTACTCTCTGATGAGTATTTCTAAAATTAAGTCTTATTTTTTTCTTTCCAAGAAGTCTGAATCATTCTAAAGGTCTCTGTTTTGGTTTCTTTCTTAGTTTTATTTTCTGAGCCAGAACAAGCATCATTTATTCTGCTCTTGAAGAGACTCTGTTGAAGTTTTATGCCCAGACAGATGCTGGAGAAAGTCAATGTGGGCACAAATGTGTTTGCTTTGGATTCATAGTAGAAGTAGCTTAGGCTAGAAATTCAGTTCTCAGAAGACATAACTTAGACTATGAATCCAGCTTTTACAGGTCACACAGAAGATCTCTAGAAACCAGCCTTCTCTCCTTCAAGCACCTTCAAGTGTGAAGGCTGCCAAACCCAGAGGGAGCTGAGTAACAGTACAGCCTGACCCACCTACAACCATGCAGTTCTGTCTCACAGGTTCACAGGCTTGGCTTTGGATAATGGTGGTCCTAAAATTTTGTATGTCTATCAAATCTTTAAAAATCAAATTGTTAAAAAAAAAATAAACTGGGACAGATGATTACATGGAGATGACCATAGAGGATCTTTCTAGAAAAAAACCACAGACCCCCTAGGCTAGAAACAGGAACGATAGGACAGCCATACACCATAGTGCGTGTTTCTGCCGTGGCTGGCAGTGGTGTAGGTGGTGGTGATGGTGCTGTTCTGAGCTGGGAAGCATGCAGTGTGATTAGAAGTGGCGGTCTACTTCATAGTGAAACAGCAAGCCTCTCCCTGATGTGCATGGCAACTGACTTGCTCCTAGAGTAAAGGGTGCAAAAGAGACTCTCCTCCTAGGGTGTGTACTTGATTTGTTTTGTTTCTTCCTTTATCCTTTTTTCAAGCCCACATATCCTGAAGGTGCAGGATTTTTCTCAATCTGAGGGCTTTATCCTGTCACAAACTATTCTTGGGCCCTTGGTGTGCCCACATCTAGCCAGCCCCATGGTTCTCTTCTCCCTTCTACTCTGGGGTCAGGAAGAGTTCATGCTCATATCTGACACCTGTGTTCATCCTTCTCCAGTATATTCATCATAATGAGGTGGCTGGATATTTATGGTGACTTCAAGCTGGCTGGGACCTCAGGCAGCTGGGAAGATGGAACGTGTTTGTATCCTTGAGTCTTGTCCCCTGAGGTAGAATGATGGCACTCAACCCAGTCTCTGTCATTTAGGATTGTTTTACTCCTGCATAGTTTCTCTAGAAATCCTCGTAGGTGATAACCTCATTTTCATTGCATTGTACTATAAGAATAAGTTACAACAGAAATTAATCAGAATGTTTAAATACATTTTTATGGAGGTTTTCATATATAGAAAATAAACATTTAGACTGAAAGAGGTTCTTTATCTTCTCTTGTATACTGTAAATGAGTAAAACAAAAGGTAGGATGAAAGAAGTAAAGGTCAATTATTTTTTTAGTATGTATTTTTAGGTACATAAGTACTTGACACAATGATGTATCCTAATTCAGCATTCAAACAACAAAACTCTGTCATGTAAGAATAAAATTACTCTTCCCAACATCATTCCCCTTTACTTAAGTAACCACCAGTAAAACTTAGGTTTTGATGCTTCTAGACATTTTCTATTCATTTACAAACGTGTATGTGTTAAGCATACTCGTGTATTTAACATACATGCATGTTACACAGGGGTATGATATAGACTTATATGTATAGTTACAAACATAACATATACATATTTGTACAATACAGATATATGTTTATAAATATTATATATAATAAAGCATGTATACCCTCTCAGTCACATACAAAGCAATATCTAGAAAATCTTTTAATATTAGTCTATCACTCATTGGAATATTCTATTCCATTTTATAGATAATAGACCATAAATTATTGACCAGTTTTTTTTTTTGATCATTATTTATGGAATTTCAAGTTTTCATAATTAAAACAAGGTTGTCTTGGGTTTGTTCATAAATACATTTTTGTATATATATGCCCATATTTCTGTAGTGGTCCCATCATTTTCTAGATCACTGAGTATCCAGTATAGATATATAGATAGATGGATAGATAGATAGATAGATAGATAGTATCTATGTATATAGTACATATTTTATATATATTTTTATATATTACACTTCAGAAGACACTGTTATCTTCCACAAAGGAAACACACTTTACACTATGACCTACAATCTCTGAGTCTGTTGGCATGGTGGGTTGGCACCCAGGGGTGGTGGAGTGGGGGGAGGGAAGGCAGAGAGCAGAGAGGAACCTATATTCTATAGAATGAACATGCTATCTGTGAAGTTGGACATGGCTACATACTTTTATTGACCTCTTGCTTTTTATTTTTTGATTTGCCATCACCAATTTTCTTTGGAGGCTTGAACTCTCCTTTTCATATTGTGGATATCAGCATTTTATTATCTGTATACACTTTTGCTTAGGCTTTTGTAACCCTCCTATGGTTTTTTTCAGATTTATTTTTATTTATTTATGCATACAAGAGCTGTAGTGCAGGCCAGAGGTGTGGGGGGGCTGTTAGAGGATTCACCAGAGACAGAGTGGATCTGCTCAAATAAACTGCTGAGGGGAGCTTCAGGTGAGACAAGAAAGGTCTCCTGACACTCCCTGCCTCGGATCGAACTCAGGCTACAGTAGCTGTAGATAGATTGCTTGAAAGCGCTAAGAATTTAATCCCTGCTGCACCACCAGGAAAGCCCTATTTTTTTTTTTTAAAGATTTATTTATTCACACAGAACTGGGTTACAGGCCAGAGATGTGGAGGGTGAGAGGCTTCACCAGAGACAGAGTGGGGAACAGGCAGATCGATGAAGTACACTGCTGAGGGGAGCAGCGGGCGGGTCAGGAGAGGTCTGCCGCGCCATGTGGATCTCCTCCGGGGCAGGTGGGGATCCAGCTCATGCAGAAGTGGCTTAAGCTTCTTAGTGCTGGGCTTTAACCCTCTGCGCCACCAGGGAGGGCCCAAGAAAGCCCTATTTTTTATGGTATTGTTCAGATTTTTTGCATGTCCAAATTTGTCTGTATTGCTATTTTGCTTCATTTACTGTGACTTATGAAAGAAGAACTAGATTATCATTCTCTTCTTGCTTTGTTTTGTGCTTACGTCTATCATCTATTACACATTTATTTGTGTGTTATGAGTTAAGAGTAAACTAATTTCACTTTGCTCTAAATCAATTCTAAGTGTTCCTATGCCATTTAGTTCCCCCGGATGTGAAAATTTCCTTTTAATATACTCTTGGGTCAGTTTCTGGATGCTTCATTATGCCGTAATGAGCTAGTTGTCTATCTTTTCCCTGTGTCATACTACTTAATTAAAATAGCAATACAGTTTGTTTATATCTGATGGGGTATTTTTTCACCTTGTGAATTTTATTGGCTATTCTGTTATTTACTCATCTACAAAATTTTAGAGTAGGCATATATGTTTCATAAAATAGTGTGCTGGTGCCTTAATTTTTTTAAGTACATATTAGTATATATAGGTAGGGATAAGCTGTATTTCAAGAGAAAATTATAGACTAGTTTTTTTGTTGTTTTTGTTTTGGTAACATCTGATATTGAGGGTAAGCTTTAAAAAGTTTTTCAAAAAGTATATTGATTAACACACTTTAAAATGTATTTCCAGATAAGGAAAAATTAAATATTCATATCACTAAGATAGATATGCTTTGCTTAAGTATTCTTTAAGACTTGGCAGTAAGACAATGTCTACTGCTATTTTTCCCGTTAATTTATATTACATCATTAAAGTAGCATTCCAGTACAGAAATATTTTGGTTCTGATACCTATAAAAATCATTCTTAGGATTTTCAAATTGTCTTCAGTATCTCTTTTAGGAGGAAAAGTTTTATTAAACACTGCTGAGTCTAAACAAAGTAATACAAATGTACCACAGTGTTTTACACTGAGAAACTTGCTTTTACAGAATATAGCAGGGCTCTTAGCATTGGCAACCCTTGCAAGAAACAGTCTGGACCATTAACCCTTTAAATCACCCTGGGTATAAAGCAGTTCTATTATTAACTCTTAGTGCAAGATATTATCTTCTTTCTCTTTATACCAAGCAAGCCATCCTTCTGAAACCTAAGTTAACTACCTGTGGGGTTGGGTAGCTAATAAATGGATGGAGTCAACCTTACTCGCTATGCACAGGCACCTCTTTATCCAGAGATAATCTCATAGTAGCATATCAGTGACTGCTAAAATGGTCCATTCCTATATGTACAAAGCTTCCTTCACGTTTGTATCTCTGGAAAAGAATCTAAAAATGGAGAATAATTGGTTGCCTCTGGGGAGGTAGCTGACAAAATAGGGAGACATTTCATTACTTACCTTTTTGAATTTTTGAAATAAGTATTTATTAATGACTCAAAAGTAATCATTTAAAAAGGAAAAATAATTAATTCATTCCCTCAGTCCTCTTTCTTTGCCTGAAGTTTCCATTTTATGTCTTTTCTTGAATAAGATCCTAGCACAAATCATAGTTTTTTTAAATATTTATTTTATTTATTTATGCATAGAACAACTAGGATGTAGGCCAGAGGTACAGGGAGTGAGAGTATTCACCAGAGAGAGAGTGGGGAGCAGAACAGGCAGATCAATGAAATACACTGCTAAGGGGGATAAGGGGAACATGAAGGGAGACAGCAGAGGTCTGCTGCGCACTGTGGGCCACCTCCCTGGCCAGGGATTGATCTCAGAGGGCAGCAATGATAGCAATGATAGTGCTGAGAATTAACCCCTACACCACCAGGGAAGCCCACTGGTAACAGTTGTGATGCCACTGGGAAGATAATTCTGAATTCTCCTTCGCTGATTGTATTCTGGGATATGGTTGATCTCTGGTGGAGGCAAGTGGTAATGTACTCTTTCCTTTCATTCCT